GGCACCAGCATAGGCCCTGGCTTATAGTAGGTGCTCAATTAATAGCTGTGAAAATGAAGATCAGTTGTCCTCTAATGAGAACAACATCATGTTCTTTGCCTCTGACAAGCACTTAACTTTTTGTTCTTACTATCAGAAAGAGTCCCTGCAGGGATGGGTTTGCCTAGAATGCAGAAAAGAATAGCAGTTGAACATTTAGAAAGCAACTCGCTCTGTGAAGAATATGACACTCATAGAAATGGATGCATCTGTACATGGTTGTAAAACTGGGGGCCACCTTGGTATTCTTGATAATTGAGATGTGTGAAGGAATCTCTTCCCTAAAAACAACAGAACTCAAAAAATGAGTTTAGCAAAGGGATGAAGGGTATGGGCTGGATTTGCATTAACTGCTGTAGGACCTTAGGACCTTGCTAAATCTCAGGTTCATCTACGAAATGCAAATAATAGAATTACCTCGTGAGGTTGTTGGTAGGGTTAAGTGAGATCACATGCTAACAAATAATAAATGCAAGCTATTAATCACAGTGATCATGATGGAATAAAATAATCCAAGGGACAAAAATTGGCTCAGAAAGAAATTGATTCAGATTGGAAGGAAGGAGGGCCTCAACAAATGTCAGTTTTCACCCACAGTTTCTCCTCCTGCCAAGACAGGGGTTAACTTAAAATCTACAGAGCCTTCCAGCTCCTAAACACTGGACACAAACTTTTGTGCATATGTACATTCTTCTAAGAAAGGAGTCCGTAGTTTTCATAAGATTCTCAAAGGAGTCTGGCACCCCTCAAAATTAGAAATCCCAGCCCTGGGCTATATCAGACTCAACACGAGTCTTGTTTTCAAATCTAAATGTACACAAAACTCCCTTTCTTTTCCCTCTTTTGGTTCAGCTGACATATGGTGGGCTTTTCAAAATAATTTTGCTAAGATTCTAAGGAGAAATTAAAAAGAGAAATAAAGCACACACAAAAGCTAGGTGAACATCAAAGCACAGCACACACCAGTGATTCTAAGGTGCCGCGACAGTGTAGCCACACATTGGCGGGGTCTGCCGCAGGTGCGTGAGCCTAGCTTTTTTCCCTTTCTTTTGTCCCTCGGAAGACTTGCTGCTTTCTTTTATTTAAAAGTGGAATTCATTTAGAGACTGTCCTATATTCTTAGACTTAATAATATAGATTCAGACCATTTTTGTCTCTTAAAATAACCCTTAAATGAGAGTTTGCTCAAAAACCAAAGGAAGCTGAAAATTATTTAATCTTTTGGTGAGTAGGTGATTGGGAAGAGATGCAGAGGTGATCAGAAAGAAAGAGAAACTGGAGAGAATCATAAAAAGAGAGAAAAAAATCAAAGTTTAGCCTTATATTATCAATGAAAGGGTTTGTTTTGATAAGCAAGCAGCCATCACTAGTCATTAAGATCTTAAGGTTAATAAGGTTCAGAGGCTTCACTGAATAATAGATTCCTTTCCTGGCAAGGAGGAGTCCTGGAGGAGTAAGAGATAGGATGCCTGTAGGGAAGTGTTAGCTCCCTGAATATACTCTCCTCCCTTTCTCTTATCCTTAAGTTTGAATGGGTGAGGACCTTCCAGAAAGGGGAGGCAGGGAGGGAGGCATAAAGAACACGGAAGCTTCTGAAAATCCTTCACATCTTATTCACATCACTTACTGGGCTTTTTTATTGGGTGCTAGGTTCTGGATGAGGCCCTACAATGTAAAAAAAAATGAATAAAACCAAGGTCATGTCTTCAAGAAGTTCTTAATCCAGGAGAAGATATAAGTGATAAGCAAATATTCAAAGTAATAAGCATATTATCAATCGTGATAAGAAGTCCAAAGAAAAATAAGGTTGGAGAAAACACACCTCATGTTACAAACTAGATTGCCCTGATTTAAAATTCTCTTTGGGGTCTGCCCTTTCCTGTCTATAACCACCCCATGTTCCTCCTGGATCCACAAGCCAAAGTTGACATGAAACAAAGTCCTGGAATCAAAGCATTTTATGATAAAGTCCAGAGATGAGGCCCTCTGAGCATTTTGAGTACTTCTTTTCTACTTCCAAGGAAATGAGAAAGAAAGAAAGGGAAGTTGTTCTTTTTCCCCCATAGACTTTTCCCCAAAAGAATTACAGTTCTCCCTTAAAGCTGTAATTTTCCCCTTTGCTTCCAAAATGCTGTGTTCTGCAAAACTGAGTTTTACCAGTAACTACTTTGCCAGAATGTAAAGAAATCTCAGATTGTGAGCTTCCATAAAGGTAGGCAAAGTAGGCTCACATGGTCTGCTGCCTTAGACTACCTTGGCGCTAATCAACTCAATAAACAAGTTTGAACCAGATGTTACTTCTATTTCCTAGCCCTACTTCTGCCACCAAGAAAGTCAAACACTTGTGTGTGGACCCCAGTCCAAATCTAAACCAAAACCATTCTCTTCACTGTCAGAGGAACCTTTCAGAGAATCATTGAAAGATGTAAACCTTGCAGGGGGCAACAGGTGTGGGGAGGGGGAAAGGGAACAAGACAGACCAGCCCTCAGGGCCACCAGAGGGATAAAAGAGTGATCATAGGAAACAGAGCTTATATTGGCAGGAGGCCTGGCCTCTTATGCCTGATCTGCTTGGCACTCTCACCAACCCACAGCCCATCATGCCCAGCCGTGTCACTCTCTCCACTAGACTCCAGGCCCACCTTTCAGACCAGGCCTGCCCAGGTGGAATCCCTAACCTGGACCAGGTTAGTCAACATCTTAGTCGGTAGACAGATGTTTCTTCACTGCTGTGGCAGCAGAAGAGCCGCTGCAACTGGAACCAAAGCCGAGTCTTCCAGCGCGCTCTCTCTCTCTCTCTCTCTCTCTCTCTCTCTCTCTCTCTCTCTCTCTCTCTCTCACACACACACACACACACACACCACACACACACACACACACACACACACACACACACACACACCCCTCTGCCCCTCCTTCTGTACTCCTTATCTATGGGATGGCTCCATTGTCCTTTCAGCCTTCCATACCTGACAGCAAGGGCTCACATCTCTCCTTTCCTCCCACATCTGAGTAGTCCAACTCTTAGAAACTCAAATCATTGTCCCCTCTTGCCTAGATTACTCCGTCCTCTCCAGGTACCCTCTCCCTGCTTCGAGTCTTGTTCTCTCTCCCACCCTTTTCCAAATAGTGCACCATGGAGCTGCCGCCAAAATAATATGAATCTGTTCATGCTTAAAATCATTCAGAGGCTTTCCAATGCCTAGGGAATAAAGTTGGGATGCTTCTGATGTCATATAAGGCACTTTCTGGCCAGGTACAGTGGCCCATGCCTATAATCCCAACACTTTGGGAGGCTGAGGCAGGTGGATCAACTGAGGTCAGAAGTTCAAGACCAGCCTGACCAACATGGTGAAACCTTGTCTCTACTAAAAATACAAAATTAGCTGGGCATGGTGGCACATGCCTGTAATCCCAGCTACTAGGGAGGCTGAAGCAGGAGGATAACTTCAACCCAAAAGGTAGAGGTTGCAGTGAGCTGAGGTCACACCATTGCACTATAGCTGGGCAACAAGAGTGAAACCTCATATCAAAAAAAAAGACACTTTCTAGTCTGCCCATCTCTGCAGCTTCTCAACGACCTCCTCCTACCACTGTGCTCCACCCATTCTGAACTCCTTGCTATCTCCCAAAATGAAATAGTTTAACCATTTAAAACAAAATGGAATTTACTGAAAAGATCTGAGGGTTAAAGCTTGGGAAAAGGCAGGAATTGTAGACAATCAGGAAGAAATAGAAAGTATAGCAAGAGTGTTCTAATGGGAACAGCCCAGTAGGCCTGCCACCTTGCAATGAATTGCCTCCCAGGCTTCTATCCAGCCTTGGATCAAGAGCAAAGATTCAGGAAAAAGCATCTGAGAGGTATACTGCAGCCTGGTGCCATGGTTAGACTGAGGTCAGCTAAAGGAGAATGTGATTCATTCAACTCCCTAGTAGGAGGAAGCGACCTCTTCATTCCCTCCTGCCAATAATACAACTATGGAGGAGAGGTACAGGAAGAGGTCATTCTCCAAAGGAAGTCGGTGTAATACAAGGAAGGAGTAAGCTGGAAAGGGTTGGAGGTGGGAGAATGAAGAGATGTTGGTTTCTGGGTACAAGCACACAGGTATACAGAAGAAAAAATTATAACGTTCTGTAGCAGAGTAACATAACTATAGTAAGCAACAATGTATTGTATATTTCAAAATAGCTAAATGAGAAGTCTTGAAATGTTCCCAACACATAGGTATGATAAATGCTCAAGGTGATAGAAAGCCCAAATACCCAGAATTGATCATTATGCTCTCTATGATTTAACAAAATATCACATATACACCACAAATACGTGCAAATATTCTGTATTAATAATAAAATTTTTAAAAATAAAAGCACCATATTAACATAAAAAGGGAAGAAGGTGCAGATGCTGGTCATCTGAAGAGTAATAATCATGTATGTCATGACCTCATTTTTCTCCATACTTGAAATACTACAACTCCCCTTCCTCTCACCTGCCACCACCACCCCATTCTGCCTGATGCATGCTTATTTTTCCATGAAAACTTAGCTCTGACATAACCTCCTCTAGGGAATCTTCTCTGACCTTCATAGACTGTGTTAGGGAACCCCTCACCTGCATGACTTTATCCTGTCTCTTACCATATGAATTGAAATTGTTTACTTGTCCATTTCCACAAATATGCATTAATATGGCCCCTTGTGACAAGGAGTCCTAACCACCAAATGTAATGCTGGGGGAAAATGTAGATGAACTTCAAATAAGTCACTTAAAAATAGTGATCTGCCAAAACTGATTTTTTGGACTGCTTTACCTAACCAGTTTTAATAATAGAAATTGAGCTTTCTCTGGAAACCCCTAATATATTCTTGCATAATTCATGTGTCTTTATGCTGTTGCATGATTTGCATACTGCATTGCTAAGGGGATTCTATACCCAATTTCCCCTGTATCCCAGTCTCACCTCTGGTTCCTCACTGATGTATTTAGCATCATGTCATAACTGTTCTCCTAGAGCTGAAGCAAGTAAATTCGTTGAAAGCTTGGTTGGGATTCTTAATCTGGAGGTATTTTCTATTGTTGTCTTTTTACTGGCAAAGGATCTTAGTTTAATCTGTGGAAAGATAGAAACACATTAAACTAGCTCGACAGCCATGTTGTGTGCTTTTGAGAATGATTCACTCATTTTTAAACCACGTTCCTTCCTAAATCAGTCTGGCTTTTCTCCAGATCGATTTCTTTAGAGAACATTGCAAATTTATTCCAAAAGTGGTTGCTAAGTGAATCATTAATGGGCTTAATAAAGTCATTTAAGAGAGAATTAATCTACACCGAGTGGGCTGTCAGGCACAGAGCCATTTTTAGGAGAAGACCACTTGTCAGATGGGAAGCAAAGGACAATATAAACGTAGCAGTAGCGGTAATGGTAGATGTCTCAAACATGGCATCATAGGAACTACCGCTATTTTCATCCCCAGAGCCTGCCTCTGCAGATCAAGATGATATTGTAAGCTCAAGCTTTGAAGCTGCTACCTGCACTACAAACACTTAGCAATTATAAATAAAATATTTTAAGAATGAATTTAAAGGAAAGTTAAAAAAAAAAAGTAAACCACATGCCCATATATACATACAGAAAAATAAATATCTATGTGCTAGAAACAGACCAGAAATAAAACACAATAGTTACTAAAGCTGTAAGCTTGTGGGCTCTGGAGACACACACAAATAGGCAAGATAACTCCTCTGCAGTACTGGGAGTAAAGGGGCCCTAGGTGGTTGGAGACTGGATCCAGGCTTATTGCCTGAAGCTAAATGGGGTGGGGAACTCCTGCCCTAAAAAAGATGCAGCTGTTACCTAAGGTTAGGACTCATATAAATGTGCATCTAGAAAAGTAGGAACAAGCAGGTATGACCAAGACTTGGGCCAAGCTGCCTCCTGACTCAGTGACTAAATCAACAATATCTGAGTATCGTCACAAGATAAAAGTTCAGAGCCACTAACATAAAACCAGGTTGTGGACTGGGGCCCTATAGCCAAGCAGGGAGGGAAAGGCATAACAAGAAGAAGAGAGAAAGTGTGTGTGACGCCACTCAAAATGTACATCACACAAGTTAAAATACCAAAACAATTAAAGCAAACTAACAGCAAGAAACGGAGCCAAGAAAATCAATATTTGGGATACATTCATTCCAGATGAAATAGAAATACAGCCATATCTCACTTTATGACATTTTGCTTTACTGCTCTTTGCAGAAACTTTGATTTTCACAAATGAAGGTTTATAGCCATTCTGCATCAAGCATGTCTATCACACCATTTTATCAACAGCAAATGCTAACTTTATGTCTCTGTGTCATAGTTTGAAAATTCTCACAATATTTCAAACTTTCTCATTATTAGTAATCTGTTATGACGATCTATGATCAGCGATCTTTGATATTACTCTTATAATTGTTTTCGAGTGCCACACATCACACACATATAAGACAGTTAGTTTAGTTAGTAAATGTTGTATATGTTCTGACTGCTCCACCAACCGGCCACTCTCCCATCTCTCTCCTCCTCAGAACTCCCTATTCCTTGACACAAAACAATATTGAAATTAGCCCAATTAATAACCCTATCAAGGCCTCTAAGTGTTCAAGAGAAAGAAAAAGTCCTGCAACTCTCACATTAAATCAAAAGCTATAAATGATTAAGCTTAGTGAAGAGGGCATGTTGGAAGCTGAAACAGACTGAAAGCTAAGCCAAACAGTCAAATTGTGAATGCAAAGGAAAAGTTATTGAGGGAAATTAGAAGTGCTACTCCAGTGAACATACAAATGATAAGAAGGCAAAACAGGCTTATTGCTAATACAGAAAACATTTAAGTGTCTGGATAGTAAATCAAACCAGCCATAAGACTCACTTAAGCCATTCTATGAAGGCTGAGAAGTGAGGAACTTCACAAGAAAAGTTTGAAACCAGCAGAGGTTGGTTCGTGAGGTTTAAGAAAAGAAGCCATCTCCATAATATAAAAGTGTAAGGGGATGTAGCAAGTGCTGATGCAGAAGCTATAGCAAGTTACCCAGAAGATCTAGCTAAGATCATTGATGAAGGTGGCTACACTAAACAACAGATTTTCAGTGGAGATGAAACAACCTTCTATTAGAAGAAGATGCCATTTAGACTTTCCTAGCTGGAAAGGAAAAGTCAATGCCTGGCTTCAAAGCTTCAAAGGACAAGCTGACTCCCTTATTAGGCACTAATGCAGATGGTGTATTTAAGTTGAAACCAATGTTCATCTGCCATTTGAAAAATCCTAGACCCTTTATGAATTATGTTGAATGTACTCACCTGTGCTCTGTAAGTGAAAAAGCCTGGAAAATAGTACATCTGCTTATAGTATGGTTTACTGAGTATTTTAAGCCCACAGTTGAGACCTACTTCTCAGAAAGAAAAGATTTCCTGCAAAATATCACTGCTCATTGTCAATGTACTTAGTCATCTAAGAGCTCTGATGGAGATGAATAAGGAGATTAATATTGTTTTCATGCCTGCTAACACAATATCTATTCTGCAACCCATGAATTAAGGAGCAATTTCAACTTGCAAGTTTTACTATTTAAGAAACACATTTTATGAAGCTGTAGCTGTCACCAATAATGATTCCTCTCATAGATCTGAGCAAAGTAAATTGAAAATCTTCTAAAAAGGATTCACTATTCCAGATACCAGTAATAATATTTTTGATGCATGGGAGGAGTCAAAATATCAACATTAACAGGATATTGGAATAAGTTGGTTCCAATCCTCATGGATTACTTTGAGGGGTTCAGGACTTCAGTGGAGAAAGTAGTTGCAGATATGATGGAAATAGCAAAACAACTACAATTAGAAGTGGAGCCTGAAGAGGTGATTGAATTGCTACAATCTCATGATCAAACTTGAAAGGATGATGAGTTGCTTCTTCTAACAGATGATCAAAGACAGTGGTTGCTTGAGATGGAGTCTACAACACCTGGTGAAGATGCTGTGAACATTGTTGAAATGACCACAAAGGGTTTAGGATATTACATAAATGTAGTTGAGAAAGCAGTGGGAAAGCTTGAGAGACTTGAACCCAGTTTTGAAAGAAGTTATACTGTGAGTAAAATGCCATCAAATAGCATCATATGCTACAGAAAAATCTTCTGTGGAAGAGTCAACTGATGCAGCAAACTTCATTGTTGTCTTACTTTACGAAATGGCCACAGACATCCCAACCTTCAGCAACCAGGACCCCAATCAGTCAGCAGCCATCAACATCAAAAGCCAGACCCTCCACCAGAAAAAGATGACAACTCGCTATAGGCTCAGATGATCATTAGCGCTTTTAGCAATTAAGTATTTTTTAATTAACAGACATACATTTTTAGATATAATGCTATTGCATACTTAGACTATATAGAACGGTATACACATAACTTGTATATGCACTGGGAAACCAAAAATTTGTGTGACTCACTGTATTATGATATTTGCTTTATTGCAGTGTACTGAAAATGAACCCACAATGTCTCTGAGATATTCCTGTAATAGTAGTATCTGAAAGTGAATTTAAAACAGGGATTGTAGCCTGGGCAACATGTCAAAAACCCATCTCTACTAAAAATACAAAAAAAGTTAGCCAGGTGTGGTGACATACACCTGTAGTCCCAGTTACTCAGGAGGCTGAGGTGGGAGAATCACCTGAGCCAGGGAAGTTGAGGCTGCAGTGAGCCAAGATTGCACCACTGCACACTAGCTTGGGTAATGGGACTGAGAACCTATCTCAGAAAAATAAAAATAAAATAAAATATGGATTGTTAGAATCGTCAAGGAGAAATATTCATAAAAACGAATAGTAAATTGTGAAAGAAAACTAGTGAAAAATGAAACAAGAGCAGGTTGGTATGAAAAGGGACAAGCTGGAAATTCTGGTAATGAAAACCATAGTATTTGAGTGAAAAAGCTCAACAGACAGGTTTAACTATGTCTTGGGTTTAACAAGACAGAAAATTGATGAATTAGAAGGTTATATAGAGGAGCGTACCCAGAATACAGCTACAAAGAGTTAAGGAAGGTAAAAAAACATGAAATAGCAGTTAAGAAACATGGAAGACAGATTGAGAAGATCTAATATATATCTAATAGAAGTTTAAGAATAGAATAGAGAAAAATATCTGTGGATCAATAGTCAAAGAGATACTGGCTATGAACTTTTCAGATGGAATAAAATGATACATGTTATCAGAAGAAAGGTTACATACACCAAGTGCCAGAAAGAATACATAGTAATGAACCTATAACAGGAAACATTTTTCAGTGAAACTGCCGAACATTGAAGGTACAGAGAAAATCTTAAAAGCGTCCAAAGCAAAACGATAGCTGACCTGCAAGGAAAAGACAAACTCATCTTCAAGGCATGTGAGAAAACAGCAGAGTAATCTTTTCACAGCCTCAAGGAAAACCAATTATAAACCAAGACTTCTATACCCAGGTAAACTATTATTCACAGCAGAGTAAAATAAATCATTTTCAAGCGAAGAGACTAAGTGTTATCACTCACATGCTGACCCTCAAAACTGAGAAAACATATTGGTAAATATGATTAGCCATTTACTTTAAGTAACTAATGTATGTTTTTAAAAGAGAAATCTGAAAACCCAGATAGCAATACTATGGGAGTGGTACTCAATGAATAGAAAATACCTGCTAAGTTCCTTGACCCTTTCCAGAGTAGAGAGATAGTTAATTATTCTATATTTTGTTAGAAATTTCACAATAAATATACATGAAAATTTAGAGGTAACCTCAGAAAGCAAAAACTATAAAATAGAAGCCAAAGTCTTGTAATGAACAATCTTGAAAAATCTGTAGGACAGGACTTGAGTTGTGGAGATAACAGTTCACTAAAGGCGTCCCATGGCCTGAGAAAATAAAATTTCCCAATATTTTTTCTTTGCTACTAAAGAACTTAAGCACTGGCAAGGACTTCATGAACAAAACACCAAAAGCATTGGCAACAAAAGCCAAAATAGACAAATGGGACCTAATGAAACTCCACAGCTTCTGCACAGCAAAAGAAACAGTCACTAGAGTGGATCGGCAACCAACAGAATGGGAAAAAATTTTCGCAGTCTACCCATCTGACAAAGGGCTGATATCCAGAATTTACAAAGAACTCAAACAGATTTACAGGAAAAAAACAAGCCCATTCAAAAGTGGGCAAAGGATATGAACAGATACTTTACAAAAGAAGACATATATGAGGCCAACAATCATATGAAAAAATGCTCATCGTCACTGGTCATCAGAGAGATGCAAATCCAAAACCACATTGAGATACCATCTCACGCCAGTTAGAATGGCGATCATTAAAAAATCTGGAGACAACAGATGCTGGAGAGGATGTGGAGAAAAAGGAACACTTTTACACTGTTGGTGGGAATGTAAATTAGTTCAACCATTGTGGAAGACAGTGTGGCGATTCCTCAAGGCCTTAGAAATAGAAATTCCATTTGACCCAGCAATCCCATTACTGGGTATATATCCAAAAGACTATAAATCGTTCTACTGTAAGGACACATGTACACGAATGTTCATTGCAGCACTGTTTACAATAGCAAAGACCTGGAATCAACCCAAATGCCCATTGATAATAGACTGGATTGGAAAAATGTGGCACATATACACCATGGAATATTATGCAGCAATCAGAAATGATGAGTTTGTGTCGTTTGTAGGGACATGGATGAATCTGGAGAACGTCATCCTCAGCAAACTGACACAAGAACAGAAAATGAAATACCGCATATTCTCACTCATAGGTGGGTGATGAAAAATGAGAACACATGGACACAGAAAGGGGAGTACTAAACACTGGGGTCTATTGGGGGAAAAGGGGAGGGCCAGTGGGAGGGGGAGATGGGGAGGGATAGCCTGGGGAGAAATGCCAAATGTGGGTGAAGGGGAGAAGAAAAGCAAAGCACACTGCCATGTGTGTACCTACGCAACTGTCTTGCATGCTCTGCTCATGTACCCCAAAACCTAAAATCCAATAAAAAATTAAAAAAAAAAAAAAAAAAGAACTTAAGCACTAAACAATCAAAGGGCATAAAACTGAATTCAGATACAAATTTAAGTTTTTGCTTTTTAGTAACCAAAGGATTTAAAAGAGAAATTTAGCATGGCCTCAATTCTAAGTTGCTATTGATTATCAGATACAATATTTATGTAAAAAACAACTTTTTTCCTACCTAGTCATTGATGACAAGGTGCCTGATTTCCAAAACGTTGTTAGCATTTTAAATTAACAAAATACATTAACTTACTTGATTTTGAGCCAAGTAAAATGGTTCTCAAGTGCCTCTGACTCTCTCAGGGAAGCGTATTAAAATGTAGATCCTGGGGGGCACTCTCAGAGACTCTGATTCTGAAGGTTGGAAAAGGCTAGGGATTTGCATTTTTAACAGGCAGTTCTGACACAGGTGATGGGAAGACTGAAAATTTCTGAAATGTTGACTGAGTAAAATCAAAATAATGGTAAAATTAGCCAGGCAGCCCTGCGGGGAATCTTAACAGCAAACATAAAAACTGAGCCACCCATTCTGAAAGACATCCAGGTTAGAACTATGACGATTCTAATTAATGAGTTAAATACTTGTTGAACCCTAATCTAGAAATCAAAGACCTGTTTTCTGTTCTAGTGTGGCTGGTAATTAGCTTTGAGACTTGGGGAGAAGTGGGGGGATTACTTTTCTTCTCTGTGCCTAAGTTTCCTCATCTATAAAATAAGGTTAAATTATTCTCTGCCAGCTTTAATGTTCTTTGGCTCTATGAGTTCACATAATGGGATTGTGAACCAGTAATTAATCTAATCTTTATAGGTTCTTCGAAAGAAGCCCCCATCCTTATTTCCCCAGGAGATGGCAGTGGGAAAGTGCAGCATAGAGAAACAACCATTATGATTTCTGCTTGGAGACAGTATTAGTGCTGCTGAGAGGCAGGTTCTGAGTGAGACACCAAATTGCCCCTAAATATCTGATCTCCACCTTCCCGGTTACAAAACTTACTCCTTAGAAACTTACCGAACAAATATAGCAAAGGATGGATAAAGATAATGTAGTCGATCTCCTCTAAATGCAAATTACCTTGGCAATTGTGCCAGCAATTTAAAATAACAAGGAGTTGCAATCAAGAACAACAACAAAGGTTTGATTCTCAAGCTAGAATCTGAAAGATTCAACTGAAAGCTACAAATCCTGGGAGATACAGGCCCCCAGAACTGTATGGATGGTGGTAACAGAGACATGTAACAAAACAAACTTCAGAGAAAAACTAGACTTACCTAGTTCTTCAAGGGGAAAAAAAAGAGTTTCTCCTTTAAAAGCGGTCTTTTGTGAGGCTTGGATTTCTCCAGCAAGGAATGTAGAGCCAAGCTGTTAGCCCAAAGCCTGGAGCCCTACCCACCTCCCCAGCTTTTACTGTAGAAATCTTTATTTGTTCTGGAATCTCTTTTATCAACACTTCAGTTACTCCTACAGTGTGAACTCCAAACAGTCCTGTTTAAGAAACTATCTGCAAATACCAGAATGGCTAATCCTAAATATAAGGTGTTAATTGGTCTCTTGGTGAGTCCAACCCCAAACACAATAAACTAGTATTTCTTTTTAACTGTGGGGATTTTGCCCCACTGCTAGTCTGAAGTACTGGGTCCTTCTCATCTGAATTTGGCTCTTTCTTTTTCTGCTGCTTTTCAGCTTATGTTTTAGGTAAGGATAAAGGGGAAAGAACGTAGTAGGAAATACAGTGAATCTTTCTCTGTCTTCATCTGACAGTAATTATAGGGTGTTAAACCCAAAGTAAACCAGGTCATACTGTATTTTCAAGAGGAGCCAAATTAGGAGGGAAGCTTGTCATTCCTGAAGACTTCCTTATGAACACAGGAATCCAACAATTTTTAAAAAAACTTTTTTAGAGACAGAGTTTATGTCACCTAGGCTGGACTCAAACTCCTGGGCTTAAGGGATCCTCCCCCAGCCTCCCAAGTAGCTGGGACAACAGGCAAGCAACACCACACTGGGCTTGTCAGGAATCCACTTTTTTTTTTTTTTTGAGACAGAGTCTCGCTCTGTTGCCCAGGCTAGAATGCAGTGGCACGATCTCGGCTCACTGTAACCTCCACCTCCCTGGTTCAAGCAATTCCCGTGCTTCACCCTCCCTAGTAGCTGGGATTACAGGCGCACGCCACCATGCCCAGCTAATTTTTTTGTATTTTTAGTAAAAACGGAGGTTTCACCATGTTGGCCAGACTGGTCTCGAACTCCTGACCTCAGACAATCCGCCCGCCTCGGCCTCCCAAAGTGCTGGGATTACAGGCATGAGCCACCACACCTGGACAGGAATCCACTATCAAATAATAGTACCTCTTAGTGCCTGTGGCCCAAATCCCCAGTTAACTGTGGCCCGGTTTCCCTGGGCATTGGCTGAGTGTTTGGCTGGGAGAGAGAGCCAATCAACAAATTAGGGACATTGACCCTTTTTTATTATCTTTGTTTTCATCTCTAACTTCTGACCTGCAACAACATCATATTTAAACCCTTCCCCTGCCACTGAGAAAGCGTTTTTCTAATATGAGGAAGTACTGTGACTGCAGAACAATAATACAGTGGGAAGGATCTCCGCTGGTACTCATCACACAGGGACAGAGTGCCTCTGTATTCCACTTCTTACTTCTCTTATCATTGGTACCACTATCCACAACCGTCATTTCAGAGAAATTTCTCTGCTTTGGTACATGTAAGAACTTGACCTGGGATTTGTGTGAACTATTCATATTGTTTTTCATTTGGGTAGATGGCCCTAGAACAATGCAGTTCCCAATTTCCTTGTGCAGTTCTCCTTCACTTGCAAACAGGACAGGAACGGCCAATTAGAAGAAAGGATTTTCACTGAGTGGTGGTGACAGTCTTCCCTTCAAACCTTTGGTGGCAAGCACAGTGTTGACCTGTATTTGTGAGCCCCTCCTGGGGCTGCATGTACTTTCTGATGGGCCCAGCTGCCAAGTTGCCTCTTGTGGGACTGGCCTGGAGCCTCTAGAGCAAGGGTCAGGATGCAGGGTTTATGTGGCTGTCTGCACTGGGAGCACAGACTGAGCTGCCCTACGCTGGGAACTGAAGGCTCAGACGTTACTTCACATCTCAGCAGAATGATGCAATGATCGCTCTGCTGCAAGTTCTGCTAAACAGCTCAATGTTTAGTTCTCCATCGTCAGTGATATTCTTGTCACTGAGCCAATGGCTTCATCAAAGGAACTAAGCAAGAATCCTGTACTAGCCTTTTTCCAGTTATTGGTAATAACAGTAGTAATTATGGGCTCCCTATAACAAGCACTGTGCAAAAGCCATAAAAGGGAAAAATGGCCCTGTTTTTCCCATCTTCCTAAAGATTATTTTAAGTATTTCTATATCAACGATTCAACTATTCATTGAGCAGTCTTCATGGGCATGGCAATATGCTGGGTGTTGGGGTGGATAATGAGTTCAACTCATCCCTGTCCTCAAGGAACTTACAACACACCATAGAGGACAGATGGCGGCAGAAAACCGAAATTGTCCTAAGTGCCACTGGGGAGACCCAGAGCGGGTGGAAGGAAAGTCCATTTCTCTTTTTTTCTTTCCTTTTTTTTTGAGATAGAGTCTCACTCTGTCACCCAGGCTGGAGTGCAGTGGCACATTCTCCGCCCCCTGGGTTCAAGCGATTCTCGTGCCTCAGCCTCCCAGTTAACTGGAATTACAGGTGCGCACCACCACACCTAGCTAATTTTTGTATTTTTAGTAGATACGGGGGCTTTCCCATGTTGGCTATGCTGGTCTCGAACTCCTAACCTCAAGCGATTCACCGACCTAGGCCTCCCAAAGTGTTGGTATTACTGGTGTGAGCCACTGCACCCAACAAAAGGCAAGTCCATTTCTAGCTGAGGAGGGGCAATCCAGAGTTGGGCTGTGTTGAGTTATCCTTGTGTATATCTTGTACTCAGGGCTGATTTATCTCTATTAGAACCCAATGAGCCTGGTGATGTAAACGCCATCTCTTCTCCATATCGGAATGTCATGGAATAAGTTTTTTATCTAAAAATCTCACTCGGTGTAATCTTTATATTATTTCCACTGTGACAGATGAAAGAAAAAAGGGCAGTAGAATGATATCTAATAATAAACCTCACTGGTAATTCAAGATCTAGTTATATCCACTTGAAATCTGAAGAGCATGGCTACCAGAGAATCAAGGCCTCTTCATTTCTTTACCATAATTCCCCTGCCTCCTTCTAGCAGCAATTTACTCTCAACACACCCGCAACTTCTTCCCAGTGCCCAAAACCTCATCTCCCAAAGACCTATCCTGACAACTCTACCCAAGAGGCACTTCCCACCACTCACCCGTCCTTTCTCTACAAGAGCAGCCTATCTGTTTCATTCATCAAATATATCACCATTTATAATGTTTATTTTCTCTCTCTTTTTTCTTTTTTTGAGACAGAGTCTCACTCTGTTCCTTAGGCTGGAGTGCAGTGGCACAATCTCAGCTCACTGCAACCTCTGCCTTCCAAATTCAAGCAATTCTCCCATTTCAGCCTCTTGAGTAGCTGGGATTACAGGTACCCAACACAACGCCCAGCTAATTTTTGTATTTTTAGTAGAGACAGGGTTTCACCATATTAGCCAGGCTGGTCTTGAACTCCTGACCTCAGGTGATCCACCCACCTCGGCCTTCCAAAGTGCTGGGATTACAGGCATGAGCCACTGTGCCCAGCTGTAATGTTTATTTTCTAATCAGCAGTCTTCCAGAACACACTCTCAGCTCCTTAAGGACAGAGGTTCTTTCTGTCACAATGCCCAGCACAGAGCAGATATGAAAAAAATTGTTGCATGAATAAATTAGTAAATAAACAAGCAGTACTTTAGGCAAGTCCTCATAGCACTCTAGACCATGGTTGCCACACCAGTCAAAATAAGAATTCAAAACAAGGATCTGGGTTGAATATTCTGATTCTAGGACTTGGTAAAGTCAACACTAGTGCTTCACCAGAAAATATTGAGCATCCTTGGCTTCAAGACAGCTCTCCTAGTAGAAAGACATAATAGGTAAGAATGCTTTTCAGCATTCTTATCCCACTTTATAAAAAATGAAAATGCCCAAATACATTTTGTGCCTGTCAAGAAGCCAGGAAACTAAAAAGAGGCTCCTCCACACAGGCAAGTAGATTGAATCAACCTGTGTCAGCAGTCAGGGGCCCTGGAGTCAGCCCCTCCACTAGAGGACGCTAGCAAGAAGACGCAAAATGCTTTTTCTGATGGAGTCAAGAAAACCTCAGGTCTAACCCATGAGTTTGCATTAGTGCCTCAGCTCAGCCTAACTCCAGCACCACCTTAGAGATCCTGAAAGTGGGTGGTCTGGAGCCCTGCTTTTAAACTGCCTCAGACTCAAGGCCAGAGGGATTGGCTGGATCAGGGAGGTTGGTAAGTACAGTGGCTTTTTTTTTCCTTTTATCAACAGGAAATACAATCTCCTGTTCTAGATGAAAGGGGAAAAAAATCATTGAAAGTAATTTATATCTGAAACTGTTTAGTGGTGTCATCCTAATTTACAACAGACCCAGTTCCAAATTAAAATTTTAAAAAGCAGTCTTTTTCTGTTTCCTGTTAGCAAAGAGCATGGGGTTATTAAAAAATATATCCATTGGATTTTCCCAAGTGTCGATAAGGTTTGGACTCCTGCAGATCTCATGAGAAGAAATCAAAACTCCTAATTAAAAATTTTGTTCTCACAGTCAAATCTTAACCTGTGCCCTCTGGCTCCACTTCTCTATGGTTAATTCATTTTGATCTTCCTCCAAAAGATAAATTGACAGTGCGTGGGATGAACCATTATCAGAAGCTTATTAATTATTTTTATTTCTGGTTTTGAAAGAAGAACTATTTTGCTGTTGCATCCCTCACCTCATACGGAACCCAGGGCATATCTGGCCATGAGTGAATACGTGTTAAATGGAATCTTTCCTGGATTAATCACAGTTGTTCATCTCTAGGGCTAGCCAGGTAGGCAGAAATGGTTTATTAAATAGATTGTGTTTGGGCTCAGGTTGAACATAGGAACAGGAAACTGAAAATAGTCCTGACATTGGATGACTTGGTATTTTTCATAATTTTAAACAGATAATTCAGATACTGGTGTTTTGGAAGGCTGCCCCAAAATCTGCTCTCCATATAAGCAAACTATAAATGCAAACAAGGGCTATGACACACCACCTACCTATTCCCCTGAGGCAGTCTTCATACTTCCTGAACCGAAATACTTGTCTGACCACAATACTGAATATTTGGAATTGGGACTATCCCAGAAATCTAGGACATATGGTTAAGAACCTGAAGCCTGTAGTCAAATTTGAGTTTTCTTAGCTATTTGGTTAAAATTTGAATATTTTTCAAGACCAGTCCACTTATAACCTAGAAAAAGATGTACTCAA